TACCTAAACAATAAACATGTTACCCATTTTAATTATTATATATAGTACCTAGGTGTCTACCTATTAATTTTTTATTGTTGTGATAATTAATTTACCTGCTCATCTTCTTCAAGGTTGTGCCTACAATTTTTTCATAGATTAATAAAATGTTAACCTATAAAAAATTGTCATGGGTTCAGAACCTACAAATCTTCTCTGCCTCATATACGATTTTGATTATTTTAAATTAAACTATTAAAATATGTACCTTTACGGCGATTTAATCAAATCTTTTTTAAATTTAAACCTATCAAAAAGTTGCATTAATTTCATAATACAGTTACTTAGATGCATTTAGTGATCAACTTTAATGATAACATTTTAGTTGGTAGCTGGTTTTGGGCGTTGTCTGAGAGCGTTTAACTTCAAAATGCAATACGGACACATGAATATTTACATAGTATGTGAACACGTTGATATTAAACGCTGAGTGAAAATAAACAAATGACATTATTATATCGGGAATTGAAGTTGTAGATTCTATGTATGGTACTATGGTATAATTAAATCAATAGTGTTAACAGAGAACACGCAGTTTGAACGTGTTAAATTAATATTATACCGATGCTGCATAAGTTGATACGCCGATTCTGAATTATATTACAATAATATTAATAGATTAACCAGACATAACATTTCCTTTTTTGTTTAGTCGTAAAAAATATAGTATAATTTAAATAGTTTATAGTAATTGAAAATTGAAGTGTTGTTGTATGTAAATCATTAAACAATTTATAAAAGAACTTCGACATACCTATTATTAAATACCTATACATACCAACGTACCTATAAACTGCGTTGGCAAGAACTCCGCAGCAGACAACTACAAAATGCAAATATCAAATTGTATAATATCTATGAATAGGTATACTTTGGCACCCAACATTGGCTATTTAATATTTTCTATTATTTAATTGAATTATAAAATAAAAAAATTTTTTTTAAAGTATAAATGACACATATATTGCATTATTGATATGACGGACAATACTATTATTACTTTATTAGATTAAATTACGAAAATAAATACTCGTGAGGCGTGAATATTTAATTTTAGATAGAAATAAATAAACAAATTAATTTTTTTATGTAACCTTATAGGCTACAATTAATTTCTAAATAATTTACGTAATAATATTACTCAATATATATATATATATTTAAAAGAGCTGTCAATATTAAATATTTAAACTTTATGTATTAATATAAGTTTTTAAAACTTAATAATAATATAATATCTGATTATATATCTAAAATGCAACTGAGTTAAGACGATGACCAGTTTGGTGTAATAAATAGGTTTTGTCCCATGTTAACTTTTCGTCGTCTTATAATTAAGTCGCATTATGCATTTTAATTTTGATATTGATTTTATCATGATGTGTTTATTTTTGTGTATGAGTACTTGATGTAAGACTTATATTATGAGTTATCGATAAATGCTTCAATTTTCGAAAATAGGAGTAGTTTTGAATATCAAATTGGAAATAGCTTGTACTTTAGAGAGATCAAATTAAAAAATTCTTTGTATTTATTTTTATAATTGGGAAAAATAATTAAAAAATTAAGGAAAAACAAGAGTTTTTACGTAAATCCAATTTTTGATAAAATCGATTTTATCTTAAAGAAAAAAATTGCAAAAAAAAAGGTGTCTGGTTAAGGTTTAAGAATAAATCTACTAAATGTAATATTTTTGGAAATATTTTTTATCAACCTATAATAATACTAAAAGCACAATAAATGACAAAAATAATTCAAGTCGATTTTATCGGAGTAATAATCAATATTAATCGGAGATTTATTTTGATAAAATTAAATAGCATTACAATTATTAATGAAAACTTGTTGATATGGGTGGAGTGGGAAAAAAATTCAGACTAGGAAAATAAATTTTCTTCAGGCCATTCAACTTTTTCATCTCTTGAATAGAAACTTTATTTTATTTATGTATGCAATGAATTTTGTATTTAAATGTTTGTAAATAAATATCAAATATAAAAATTCATTGTATAGGTATTTAATTGATAAAACTATATAAAAAAAAAAAAAACTTTGAATCTAAAATCTTAAATAGGTAATCAAAATTTAATAATTTTTAAATGTTTTTATATAATATATGTTAATAATGTGATCAGTTTTAAATAATAAATCATTATGACCAGAGATATTTTCAGTATCTGTTAAAAGTTTAGGTAAATTTCTTTTGCAATAATATGAATCTAATTTCATACATTTTTTTCCACTTTGTATCAATTACTTTTTATTTTTTTTCTCTAAAATTTTCATATTTTGAAAATGGGGGGGGGGGTGAGCTGGCGTGACTTACGTGGCTATAAGGTATTATTGAGTTCTACAACTTCGGCGAAAGTTATAAAAATAGATAGTGTGCACTATACTAACGTAGTAACATGGGTATATCATTTATTTTACTTGCATACCTATGTACTATAATGTACGGGCTACAGCAAATTCATATTAAATAGCTCATCACTTATAAGAATTTATAAAAAATAATATAAAAATGATCATTAATTAAACTTTTAAAGTTATGATTTAGTTTTCGTATATAAATATACTTCTCACATTACCTACTCTGCATTATTTTAATGTTTTTTTTCTAGCTATACTTCAGGCCAACGGGCCATTTAACTTCCAGACCACCTGGATTTTTCCCGGTATCCCGGTGGGCTACTCCGCTCTTTTTTGTAGACGTTTATTATCACAACAGACTAAAATTATCAAAGTCCTCTTATAGTTTTGATCCATCCCCTAACGAATTAATATTAAATTATAATTTTAAATCATCTTCTCATACGTCGTGCTAAAATTTGGTTTAAAAATTAAATCAACATCATTAATTTACAAAATATGACCCCCACTGTGGAACACTTGAGAAGACTGAGAAATTACTCGAAAAGTACCTGTTTAGCCTTATCTTTTCAGACCTTAAAGATAAAATAATGAACTAAATACTAATCCATTTTAACATGAGGTTATTACCACCTATTAATTCCAATATACGAAATTAGTATAGCGCGTGGTCAATCGTATCAAATGCTTTAATTATATTTGTATAGATTGCATTGACCTGTTTACTTTTTTTTAATAACATCCATTAAATATTCATGAAATGAAACTAAATTTGAGGATGAAGAAATACCATGTATACGAAATTCAAATAATTGTAGTACCTATAACATATTCAGAAAAAAAGAAATTACCTAAGTTTTGGTTGTAAAATTGATTCAAATAGTTTAGGAATGGATGACATAATGCTGATGATTTTCATAAGTCTGGAAACTTGCCTGAATATAGTATAGTGGGAAGTGGAAGCGTTTTTAGATTTGTGAAAATAATTTAATCTAAATTGTTTTTAGATTCTTCAAATTAAAAATTTTCTGAATGTGCTAGAAAAATCATAATTACACAGATATTTCTGATAAAGAACCAAGCAATATTCCCAATAGGTTAATCCTTCTACTCTCCATTTTATCAGTTTAATATAATATATTACTAATACCATTTTTTTTACTTATTGACTGTTGTACAAATACAACAATTGTAAGTACTTTATTTCTATTAAAACAAATAATTATTTATAAACACAATAAGGTATTTATAATTCAAATATAATATGTATATAAAAAAGGGTAATGTTATGAATAGCTTGTTATTTTTAAGTATCTCTAGTAAGATAGTCCCTCAATAATTTATTCTACTCTAACTACTATATGTCTGTATACAATTAATAAGCTCTATTGAGTAAGTTTATTCAAAAAAATAATATTCAACAACATTATAGCTTATAATATTTTAATCACATATCTCTGACCTATATAATATATTATAATACTGTTATAATGTAATTGAATAAGTGGAAATAATTTAGTTGGAAAAAAACAACAAATTATTATTTATCTTTATTTTCTACTTAGTTTTAATTAAAATAAAACATTACTTTGGATGATTTTAATAGGTAGATCAGTTTAATGTATAAATCTAAACTAAGTGTGGATCTAGAATATTTAGTTTAGGAGGGAAGCAGTGCTGGATTGAGACTTTTCGCCCTTTTCGGTCTTCCGAGATTTTAAATTTCTATCAGCCCATTCATAGGTAGCGATTTGATTGTATTATATATGATGAGTAAGGAATACTTTAACCCTAATATTCAATAATTTGGGAGTTTTTGAAAATGTCCCCACCCTCGAAATCACCTATATACTCATTTGACAAAAGTACTGTATCTCTTATTTTTTTTACACTCTAAGCAAAAAAAGATTTTTTTTTATTCACTTGAAGTTGGTATGCATTATTTTATGATAGTTTCTCTATAACAAGTTTACAAATTACCCAACATACATTGTATTAAGTTACCTCTTATATAAGCAAAGAGCAATTTTTTTTCACTTATCTTTATATTACAAAAAAAATACCAAACAGAAATATGAACACATCTATTTATAAGGTGCCTAAATTTGGTTTATCATTGATAAGTAAGTTTATAATTAGAAATATGCAACAATATATATCCTAAAACTTTATATTATCTTTATTTTAAAATAAAAGCTTTTAGCTTAAGCTTAACCATGATTATGACCGGTCCAAATTGTATACGGCTCACCGAGATTTTCTAAGTAGCTCTCCAGTTCAATCCGGACCTGGAGGGAGGCATAAAATATCAATGCAGATTACCATTTTTCATTTGCAAAGTTTGTTATTAACCTATTAAAGTTAATGTTAGTTATAATATAATAATTTTCAACAGCTTTTTCTTACCTTAATTTTTTTGATAAAAAAATTTCAGAATTGAGAACTTTTTTAATTATAAGAACCCTAACTTTAATTAATAAATTTTAACAAAATAAGTACAAGAAAAATATTTTAATTATTAACATAAAAAGAAATTTTAGTTTAAACATAAAAAAAAAAAATATGTTAAACAATGAGATTTTTTTATTTTAGTCAAATTTTTACAGTTCTAATATAAGGTTATCCTTTATTTTCTTTTTAGAACGATCTTTTGATCTTACTATAAAATGTTTACCATACAAATGAATAAGATATCCTTCAAGTTCTAATTCAAAAATACATTGATATTTGGGCAAGGCTGCAAAAAAAAAAAAAAAATATTTAATTTAATTTAATATATTATAATAATTTGTAATACAAAAAACTAACTTTTTAATTTATTATCAACTCCTATGATTTGGAAAGTGTTTTTTGTTTCAAGAATTATAACACCTCTCACTAAAATATATGAACAACACTTGGAACTGACCACCTTTATGTGAGCACCATGAAAATCACATTTGTACAGCGAAGTCATAAATTGTTCCCAATGTTTACATCCTGGAATACCATTCCATCTGTAAAATCATAGAACTTATGAATAACAATGTTTACAAAATAGGCCTTGTCTTACCCTCTTTTGCGGAGATCATCAAAATTAATAACTTTTTTCATATAAGACATCCAAAGCTCATTCAATTTCATTGCATCAGTATATGATAAAACATCTTTTGGTGGATGATTTAATCCTAATATTCGTTTTAATTGGTTTTTTGGTTTACATTTATCCACAGGTTTTGGTTTTTTCTTATGTGTGTAATTACCCAACCAATATATCTAGAAAATTAAATTTTAATTAATAATCATTACCTGTTTTAAATATTATATTTAACCTACCCTCTTAAGTCCGGAATCTATTTCTTTATTAGTCACATTCAATGGCAACAATTGACGAGCTAATTGATTGACAGTTAATGGATTTTCTACTTTTGATATACCAGAAGACTCAAATGCAGTTTGTGCCAGTGGATTGTATAAAATGTTAGCTAGAAACGTGCAAAATATTTAACGCGTGATGATAATTTAATATAATTTCAAATTTATTTACACATGATTCAAATATGCTAGTTGATAAAAAAAAAAACAATACAAAATCTTGACTGCGAATCGATGACGCGTGGTATCTACTGCTAGTTGTTCGTGAAAATTAAATTCATTTTCGAACGTTGCAGCCGCTAATTGTAGCGACCGAATTGGATCCAACCGATCCAAGAAACGTACTGCACAGTGCACTGGTCTCTAGCGCTATGCCGTCCGCGATAAGATTGCACTAAACGGGATGTGGGGCGCATGAGCCCGCGAGCGAATTTGATGGAAACGATTCCAATAGGTAGGTAAGTGTGTTACTGCCGTTGTCAGTTGTGGCAGGCTGCAGCGGATGCGTCGCGTAGTCTGTGCCGAACGTGGCCGGTGATAAATGCCGCACCGGTGATAAGCACGTGCACTGCTGCGTTTGGTCGCCGGCAAATCCACCGGCCGCCGCGGGTGAGGAACCTCGTCGGTCGACCGCCGCACACGGTCCTCACCCGGGCGTGGTCATGGACTCGCCGACCATGACCTGCCCCAACACGCCGGCCGGTGCGCGAGCCAAGGCGGCCCCGTGCGCGGGTCCGCCGACAACGACCTGACATTTTGGGCACCTGCTGTCCGCACGTGCGTATTTTGAGTCAGCACATGCACTGGAACGAAGTGGGCGTCAGC